AAACTCCTAGATCAAATACCACAGTGACTGATTTGCCATCAATAGTGGACTATTGTGAAATTTTCTTATTGTGGATTCCAACTCCTAGAGCGGAGTTTTCTACTGGCAATAGGGGTAGGACACAGAAGACCTAAATATGTTACACTGAAATCTAGTCACATGTTCAATTATACTCTTTGTTAAGGAGTAACACAGGCCTTTTTAAAAGGTATCACATGGTAGGAAACATTTTATGGTATTTAGTAAAAATAAGGAGCCAACATCCTAAGATGTTGATCGGGATTTTATTTTTTACAGAGGAAAGCTAGTTTTCCGATCTCCCATAGACAGCAGTGGCCTAGCCTTTGATTCTCCGCCAGTCTTTGGCTAAAGAGGCACTAAAAGCCCTGAAGAGAAGGCAGCTCCCCCAACACACTGAACAACCTCTTTGCATCCCCATCTTAAAACTGTTCCACCGTACCTACCATAATGGTGTGTTCGGGAAATTTGGCACGGACGAGTTTCACGAATTCCACAAAATGTTCCGAATACCCGTTAGCCACATCCAGACAAATAAACTTAATCTGTGGCACAGTTTCCAGGATGCTGGTCATCTTTTCCAGATCGTTCTGCCCGCTGCCCGAACTCACGGCTACATGCTGTACCAAAATAAACCAGGGAGCACAGACATGAACAGTAGCATTCACGAGTCAGACCCTGCCTCTGGCCCTGTGCCTACTTTCAGGACGGTACAGTCACCCTTTGAGGTCAACCCGGATCAAATACACAGGACACCTGCTCAAGAGACAGGCAACAGGAGGGGCAAAGGAGATTCATTCATCAAATTATCTAAACTTTGATTCACACCATTGAACTCTATATGTCCTTAAACCCAGACCTCAGCCACAAAATCTTTCCAGTAAACAGATTCTTAAATATTCAGGAAATCTTATCCTCGGCTTCTATTCATTTCCTCAAGCTGTCTCTGTGGAACTCTGAGCTCTGTGGCGCTACTGGTGTGAATGTGTCAAACCATGGAAACTCAAGGAAGCACAACGAGGGAAAGTTGGGAAGAGCCCCGGGAAGAATGAGGGTTGGCCAGTCAACTCCGGCTTCCTCACTCCAACACGCTGTTGGCCTTCACCCTGAGCACCTCGCTGGGAGAGAAGAGGAGAGGGGAAGTTGGCTAAAACTCCCCGATAAACTCATTCCTGTTTTTATTTTCACTCCCAACAAAATACTAGCACGACATGCAAATCTTAACCTGTACAAAGAGGTTAACCCATCTGTTAAATCTTAACCTGTACAAAGAAGTTAGTTAACCTGTTTTCCTGTAAATGGGCAAAAGTTCCCAAGGTGTAAGACAAACAAGCCCAACATGATCTTTCACAACTGCACTTGAACCTGTTTAAACCTGAAGCCACCACACCCCACTCTGTGATACCCACCCCCCTCACCTCTGCAGCACCGGTGCCCTTGACCCTAGGCCTCCGCCTTCTCGAACATTTGCTCTTTGGGAAAGAACTTGTTTTCAATAATTTAAGCCTTAGTGAAACTAAGCCATAAGCTGTGCCCAGAGTCAGCATGTCACCTTCTATGAGAATATTTATATTTCAACTCTTATCTCTAAACCTTTAGCCACAAATGAGGAACATATTAATGTCTTAATATCCTTTATGTTATTCCCCAACACCACAACAATGTAGCTACAGCCCAGACACTGGGTGTGAGCTGACTGCTGACATGATACATACTTACACCAGATTTCTCTGTGCACTCACACCCTGGCCTCGTGGCTCACGGTTCTCCCTGTGCCAGTGGGATCCACACGTTCTTCCCCTCCCACTAGAGTTTTGCTACCCTTTTTACTTTACTGTTCATTTCTGTTAACGTCTGACACTGGGAACTCGAAATTGGTTCATTCCTCTCAGTGCTACTAAGTTTTTAAAATTTTCCCTTTTAATTAGCCTTTTATTGGGTGGGGGTGGGGGTGGGGTCATAAATCACATGACCACATTTGGCAAAGAAGGCCTCCCTTCTCCAATTAACAACACATTGCCAAAAACTCATTTAAAGAAATCCAAAAGAGGTATGATCAAAGAGAAAAAAGAAAATCATTGCTCCCAAATCATAGGGAAAAGGAGAAGAAAGTGAAAACAAGTATAATTCATTTGAACATAACGTGGCAGAAATGAAGGACTTATTATTGAGTCAGAATTATTTTGTCTCCAAAACCACCTTCACAGTGATCAAAATCTATGCACAATTAAAGCATAGTCACAATAGCAGAAACAAAAAGGCAGTGAAACCTCAAAAACAGTAAGATACGAAGTCATTTTCCAATCGCAAATGATCTGATTATGGAAAATCAGCCCTAACCCAGACAGACCTGTCTGCCAGCTTTGGGCTCCCCCGAACGTGTCAGGAGGAAATTCAGGCATGTTGTCACAATGCTTTTTATTGTTGTTTCAAAAATGTCTCTTTTTGGCTGGGCTCATTGGCTCATGCCTATAATCCTAGCTAGGAGGCGGGAGGCCGAGGCGGGAGGATTGCTTGAGCTCAGGAGTTCAAGACCAGCCTGAGCAAGAATGAGACCCCATCTCTACTAAATACAGAAAAAATTAGCCAGGCGTGGTGGCGTGTGCCTGTAGTCCCAGCTACTTGGGAGGCTGAGGCAGGAGGATCAGTTAAGCCCAGGAGTTTGAGGTTGCAGTGAACTAAGCTGATGCCACAGCATAGCCTGGGCAACAGAGTGAGACTCTATCTCAAAAAAATAAATCTCTCTTTTTATTAAATAGTTTTACTGAGATACAATAACATACCACACAATTCACCTGAAGTGCATAATTCGATGATTTTTAGTATATTCGCAGAGTTGTCTAACAGTCACAATCAATTTTAGAACATTTTCATGGCCCCCCCCAAAATATTCCTTCATCTCTTAACCACCCCCCCAAGCCTCAGCAACACTAACCTGTTTCATGACTCTATAGATTTGCCTATTCTGGACATTTCATATAAATGGAATCACATATGTGGTCTTTGGTGTCTGGCTTTTTCATATAGCAAAATGTTCGAGGCTTATCCATGTGGTAGCATGTATCAGAACTTCATTCCTTTTTATGGCTGGATAATATTCCATTGTACGGATAACCACATTTTGTGGATCCATTCATCCGCTGATGGACATTGGGGTTGTTTCAACTTTGGGGATATCATGAATAATGCTGCTATGAACATTCGTGAACAAGTTTTTGTGTGGACATGTTTGAATTTCTGTTAGATATATATGCAGAAATGAAACTGCTGGGTCATAGGGTAACTCTTATATTTAACCTTTTGAGGAACAGCCAAATTGTCTGCCAAAGCAGCTGCACCATTTTCCATTACCATTAGCAATGTATGAGGGTTCCACTTTCTCCACACCCTTGACAACACTTATTATCTGTCTTTTCGATGACTGCCTAGTGGGCATATAGTTTTACTCAACTCCAAAACAACTTGTTATACTCAGTTGTTTTATCTACAGCCAAAAGACACGTTCAGACTAGATCCACTTTGAAAAACCTGGCAGGAAACACGGGTCTTCCCCAAGCTCTGGAGATACAACACTTTACCTTTCAAGGGAAAGCACAGATATTGCACACAGCTAAATCCTAGCATTTTCATAATACGATGCAGAACAGGTTTCCTCAGCAAATCCCTGGCAGGGACACAGGGCTAGAGAAACCCTGAACTCTGCATGTCCGTCTACCGCTGAATCAAATCCTCTTGACAAACCTGAAGATTTTTTCCCCCTGCAACACTTGTTATTTTACATCCAGACTGTAGTCTTACCTGCAGGCATTCTGGGTGATTTGAGGCAAAGAGCTTCCAGTCATCCAGGGTGTAATGCTTATGAATTGCTGTAAACATTGAGTGCTAGAAAATAAAGCAGCATCATTAGGATGAGAAACCAAGTGAGCCCTCCCTCCCAACCTCCACTTGGAGGTGGCATCCAACAAGACAAAGGCATCAGGTATTCCTGGTGTTCCTGCCATTCACTCCTAATTTGCTTCGAATATGCTCCTCCTAGGAGCCAAAAAACAGACAAAGGTGCAATCTTTCCCCACCCCAATCTGAGACAACACTGCATTCAGGATTTGGGAGCCTCTGCTAGGAGGCAGAGGAGGGATAAAGGAAGAGTTCCCAGACCCCTGCCCCAGCCCACATGGCTCAGGCCCACACCTGAGTTAGGCCAAAAGCAGCACAGATGGTCAAAAAAGAAAAGCATGCAGCAGGTCCCCTGTGCAGGAGCAGGGCCATCCTATGACGAACTTTTGTTTAACCAATGCTGAAGAACCTCACCTTACACCTGAAAGCTTTTCCTTGTGTTCACAGCCAGAACACTTCTTGCTAAAAGCTAAACCCATCGGTCAGCTGGTATTCTTGAGGGAGGGAATTATATAAATTAGAACCCTAAATCTATGACTATCGACCCAGCATCTATTGCCTGCTTTGTGCCAGCCCTCTGCATACATAATTTCATTCTCAGAACAACTTTAAACAGTATTATTAGCTTCATGGGCAGAAACGGAGCCTAAGAAATTTAAATTCACAAAATGTAAGCACTGCTTGGCTAGGAAGAGAGGAGGACCAGGGTCAAACCTGGCTCTGACTTCGGAGCTCGGGCTCCTTCCCTGGTGACAAAGTCCTTTCACCTAACTTCTCTGGGGCTGCCTCTCTCCACCTACAATTTCCAGCTTCTCATTCTAAAACTCTATTAACTTACACTGACTCTGTGGATCCCGGAAATAGAAAGTTCATAGTTATTCATAGTTATTCATGGTTATCCACACCAGGGTACACTATCTCGTTACTGGGGAGACTTTCCCCAATAGTCTGTGAAAACGGGAAGAGCCTAGCAAAGTTCTAGGTTTTTCAGGGACTAATGATCTGACTTGTGAATTAACCTGGCTATTTAATGCCCCTGATGCCCTCCACTCTTACACAAATACATAATTCATTAGTAGCAATGGCTGATGACAGAACAGAGCAAGAAAAAAAGGAGTTCCTTTAGCAATTAATTTATTAGCCTCTGGCCCCAAGCTCAGTAGGGGCTGAGGTCTCACAGACAATACAACAGATCATGGAGTGAGACAGACGACCCTTCTCCATTTTTGGAGCTCATAATTTATTTGAGAATCTTTTCCTTCGAATCACTAGCTAATAATGAATCCCAGCACCTCCTGTGGTTAGACCTGCTGCCCACAGTGAGAAGCTCTTTCGACTAATTGGATTTATCTTTTCACTTGGCAGGCATTATCAACAGAAATAGACACAGAGCCCCTGTGTGCACCAGCAGAAAACGTTTCACATCTAGGGTGTGTAAGAGGCTCTGCACCTCAGACATAGCTGCGTGAGACAAAGGTCCAGCCCACAAATGGCTCTTCCTTTATTTTTCCCAATGCCAGGATACTAGCTACTCACTTTATAGAAAATCACACTGGTAGTTTCGCTAAAAGAGATCTTGAGCTTACACTGTGATCTGTCAATTTCAGTTGAGAGGTAAATCCTTTAGATTCTGGAGTCAGTTTGGGTTTGAATCCTGACTCTCCCTCTACCTGGCTGAGGGCCTGGGGCAAGTTGCCCCTCCTCTCCCTCTCTCTGCCTCAGTTTCCTCATCTGCAAAAGGACCTACCTTGTGGAGTTGTGTCAAGGATCAAGAGATACGTTATATGCAGTGTTTGGCACCTAAGTGGTCGATAAATGTATTCCATATTAATACGTGATAAATGCTACAGAACAGACTGCATACAAAGCAGCTCTGTCTTAATTTTAAATGTGATGTCACTCATCTATAATATGGTACTCGTGATGTTGTCTAACTTCTTTTTGTATCTCTAATTTCTAAAACCACCACGGGCAGTTTCCCAGCAAAAACAGAGGCAGATCTAGAGCATCTCACTGAATACAAAGTCCAGACACCATCAATTTTCTGATTAAAGAGGGAGTGTCTCCAACATCAATCAGACTCAGAACAGAGAATGGCCCAGAGAGTCTCACTTTTCTCCTCTTCCCTATGTCTGAACAAGTCCGAGGTGGGCTCCTGACAACCTGTCCATATTGCGAGTGGCAAAGGAAAAAAAAATAGCACACCACTTCACCTGTGACATCACAGCTGCCATCTCAAATGTCCCCACAGTGTCCATGTTGGCCACAATGATGGGAATCCCTGAGTAGGTCTGCTTTGAGTTCCGAAACGTGAAGGTGCGCTCGAGATCCACCTGTTGGCAAAAAGGGGAAAGAAATGAGTGCTTTGCCCTTATGTGATATGTGCAGAATTTCTGCAGTTTGGAGAAGTGGGAAGAACACAAAACAAGTGTCTGATCCTTGGCCCCTGGATTCTCCTAGGGCTTGGGCCAGGTGCTCCAAAGTCAGCAGAGTCCCTGAGGAAATCAAGTAGCGTGCTGTGTTCAGGTGCAAAAGTGAGATGGATTCCTCACCCTCCTCCTGCACCAGCACAAGGCACTGGAAATCCGCCATCAAGACAAGCCTCCGGATCAGAAGCTCTCTGCTCCTCCCTCGCCTCTCCAATCCCAGTGCCACCTTCTATCCCCAGCACTGAACGCCCACATACATCTTACCTTTTCCCCACTTCTAAGCACTGGAAGGACCATTCCCCTTCTGGGAAAATCTACTCCACTCTTCCCCACCTCCCGCTCCTGGCCACAATCCCCTCACTTACCTTTCACCTAAAGCCACACTCCAACTCACCCTGCAGCTAGCTCCAAACCATTAAATTAATCCTTTAGCACGGCTGTTTAGTTATGAGCGCCTTTCAAACAGCTGGGGGGAAGTAAATTGCAACCATATGTTCCCGCACATAAACACTTGTTCCTTCCACGTGCAGACAGCTGGAGGGAGGGCACTCGGATTCCACTGCAACTTCAAGATCAGGGCATGTATGACTAACCTTGCGATCAGGAATCCAGGACAATAGCTCAGCTGTGAGGGTGGGCTTAGCACAAGCAGGGTGCCAGGGCCAGGCCCTCACCAAGTGCTGGCACAGTCAGAAGTGCTTCTTTGACCCAAGGCAGACCCCATCCTGTTTGCCTACAGATCGTCCTCAGCCTGCTCTTATCACAAGAAGGCCACCCCCTCCAGGCTCCACTTCTCAAGTTCATTTTTGGTTGGGTTTGGCCAATGGAGGACACAGGGTGAGAAACGAGGAAACTCTCTGCCTTGGGCTGCTTCTCCAAGGCTCCGATCCTCTGGCCGGAGAGGCCTCCGTATTCCTGGTTCCAGCTTTGCCTAAGAGAGCCCAGTCCCTCCCTGGGCTCTAGGAACACCGTCTCCTCCCTCTGACCCTAAGATAGGGGTGGCATCTTGCTGCTGCGATCTCTGGGGTGCCTCAATATCCCATTTGGCATCTCAGCTATGTCAGGATGCGCTGCATCAAATTCCCTGTTTTAGATATCCAGCATTGTCTGTTTCTTTGCTGGACCCTGATGGATACAGACTGGAAGTGGGTGCTTACCCAGGGTGAACCAGCAGGAGAAACATGAGCGTGAACCTTATGCTTCTGAAATAATCTAGAATATTAATTCTGGCTTCATGAATACACCAGCAATGATCGTTTTCCACCAGTGTTTATCTAGATCCTTTTATTTTCCTTTTCATTTGAGACAACTTTCATTTTGTAATCAGCAGCAACTCAGAAAACGCCACAGGACATCTCAGGCCCTTTAGCCTTTTCATTTTTCTTCCTTCTCCACACAGGGCTCCATGTTGAGTAGGCGTCCTGGGCAAATGATGTCATGAAAAGATCACCCTGGCCTTAGGCAACAATCAATAAGGGAAAATGAGATGCTATAACTGCATGAACATATGTGGTGGCTCATCCATTTCTCCGCTTCCTTCCTGATGATTCTTGGTTCTGCTTCAGCAAAGCACATTACAGTGACAATCTGAAAGGTAACTTAAGGGGTCTGTTGCAACCTTCTGCGCAGCTAATGGCTCTCTAACATTTTGGCTTCACAGGCTTGAAACAATCAGAATTTCTCCGTCGCAAATTACTCTAACACTCCTCCAGCAGGCATGGGGCTAGCTGCTACACTCCGCACCGGCTGAGATCACAATGGGTTTTTCCTGGCACTCCAAAACCTAGCAGCAGGACACAAGACACAGAGCTTTTCATGGAAAAGGGCATGACAGTGAACTCTTCCTGTCATTTCTAGTTTTCTCTATAAGGTAGCTAGCTCTTCCCCATCCTTAATTCTAAGAATGACAAATAAAATTATCTCCCCCAACCTTATCCACCCAGACACACACACATATACACATACCAGACCAGTCGTTCAATAAGAGAGATAAATATTTTAAATATTCCAACCTCCCAGGAACAAAACTTGGCATTTAACCTGGCACAGCTGGCCAGTGCACCAAATATAGCACCTCCAAATTCCCACTCTAAGCCTCACTTGACAGGGAACATAAAGTAACAAAGTCCCCTCCAGGACCTCAAACCACACGTTTCTGCTGATCTCTAACACAACTTCATTACTCAGCCTTACAACCCAACATTTTAGGGGCTGAGAAGTACAAATGGAAGCCCACCTACCACATTCCTAAATAATTCAATGCTATGCATCACACTAACAAACCACTACATAAAATATGTTCTACCCTCCTACCCTAACAAAAACAATTTCATTCAAGGTCAGGAAGACACCAGAACAAGTGGCAGGGGGAACAGGCCCTGGCCCCCAGTCCACACCCACCCATATCCTTATGTATACACACACGGACACCCACACACATTCCCATGAGGGGCTGCCACCTGGCCACTCTCTGGGGTCAGAGGTGCGCACACCAGCAGTATGGCTGGTACTTGGAAAAAAGTACCTGGGGAAGTGGCAGACCCACGCAGGCCTGAGAATCAGCTCACAGTCACTCGGGGAGGGATAGAGGATTCTGAGTACATAGAGCACAGCCTAGAAAAAACGGCCCACAGGCCTTGCCCAGTGAGGAGGGGTGTAATCAGGGGAGCAGAACTAGGGCCCAGGACAGGGACCCTTTTCCCTGGATCTACGGACAGTACCAGGTAAAGCAATTCTTTTTATTTATTTATTTTTATTTTTTGAGACAGGGTCTCTCTCTGTCACCCAAGGCTGGAGTGCAGTGGCGTCAACGTAGCTCACTATAACCTCAAACTCCTAGGCTCAAGCCATCCTCCTGCCTCAGCCTCCCGAGTAGCTGGGACTACAGGTGCACGCCACCACGCCCAGGTAATTTTTCTATTTTTTGTAGAGACGGGGTCTCACTCTTGCTCAGGCTGGTCTCAAATGCGTGATCTCAATCGATCCTCCTACCTGGGCCTCCCAAAGTGCTAGGATTACAGGTGCGAGCCACTGCACCCACCTGGCCACAATTCTTTTCTTATACAGATTGTGCGTTATCTGTCTCGACACTCCGAGTACAGAAACAATCATTCATCTTTGTAGTCCTAGTAGCTTAAAAGGTGTGGAATAAACTATTGCATAGCCAACAGATAATAAGGATACTGTGTTCTGGCCCCAGCTTTTTGCAGTTCAGTGCTTGGGGGGGCCCCAGCCCAGCCCTCTGAAATGTGGATTCGACCCCCAGAAGCCTCCCCTCCAGTTTTTGGGCTTCTGAGCGGCTGCCCCACGGTGGCATTCCCAGCGGGCCATTCCCAGCGAGCCGAGCCGAAGGCTTCCACAAATGGAAAGGGCTTCAGAGGCCAGTCCAGCACACCCGTGTGCACATCAGAATCCTCTGAGAAGTAAATTCCAAAATACACAAGCTCGGGCCGCCCCAAACTTCATGAATCACCACCTCTGTGTTGGAAACAATGTGTGTGTTTTGGAGTGTTTCCCTAGGCAATCCTGATGGATTCATGACTAAGAACAAGTCTAGTCAAACCCTCTAATTTTACAGAGCAAAATTTAGAGGCTCTTACAGGTTGAATTGTGTCTGCCCCCAAAAAGATGTCTAAGTCCTAGCCTGCAGTCCCTGTGAATGTGACCTTATTTAGAAACAGGGTCTTTGCAGATGATCAAGTTAAGATGAGGTCATTAGCATGGGCCCTAGTCCAATATGACTGCTATCCTTACAAAAAGGGGAAATCAGGACACAGATACACACATAGGGAGAATGTCACGTGGAGATGAAGGCAGAGTTTGGAGTCACGCATCCATAAGCCGAGGAACATCAAAGTTTGCCAGGAAGCCAGCAGAAGTTAGGAGAAAGGCAAGGAACAGATTCTCCCTGACAGTCCTCGGAAGGAACCAACCTTGCTGACATCTTGATCTGAAACTTCCAGCTTCCAGAACTGAGACAATAATTCTTCTTGCTTAGGCCACCCAGTTTGTGGTACTTTATTACAGCAACCCAAGGAAACTAACTCAGAGGCAGAGGTAAGGGAATAATTAGTGGCAGGTCTCCTTTTCCCAGCCCACGATTCTCTCCACTCTGCCGCTCTGCTCTCATCCCCCTCAGCCCAACCTGTTGCGATTGTAAAAGCTGGACCAGAACTCTTCTCAACAGCGCACTGGTGAAAAAATCGCTACAGAGTTTTAAGCAGACTGAACATCCAGCGTGTCTTCTCTGTCCTAGGACAAAGTGGGCAATTTGCTGCAACTCTCTTCAATGCCCAACTTCCAAAGTTAGAGTTGTATTAATAAGTTTAAAAAAAAATTCTTACTAGCTTAATGACTAGGGTGGGATGTTAGATCCAGGAATGGGTCTCAAGGAAGAAAGCGCTCAGGGAGGCAAGGAATAACTTAAGCTTCCCAGAGCATCAGATAAAAACAAAGGTCATGTCTCAATCAACAAAAATGGTACCTCCTCTGAAAAGATTATCCAAATGTCCCCACATAACCCTGTGGCACTTCATTCTTCTGTACCAGGGGCTGGATATTTGAGAGATGACTGCCTCCCTGGGGAACTCATGCTAAGGCCACCTGGGTCACCTCTTCCTGTACTCTTTGCCTCTGGGAGTTGACCTCAAATTCACTTCGTTCATGTTCATTTGTGTGAGGCTTGCAGGAATGTCCCTGCAGGACTACTGAAACTTCTGAGTAGATCACTCTTTTTCTCTCCATTTTCTGTTCACTGCCTATATTCAGGCCGGGCTCTTAGCAAAATGTCACAGTGATAAAGCCTATTCATCAACAGTCAAAACTCTCCTTCCCCTGCCAGACTCTACTCCCATGGTGCAGGTTCTCTCTCCTGGCTCCACTCAAACCTGCTCTGTTTAGGCTCAATGTCAGTCACCTACTGTTTAGTTTCCAACTTGCATCTAGGCATTACTTCTGCCAGGGTGCAGACATTTTCAGCTTCTGATTGTGCAATGAAAAGTTTTTATCCGCCTACAAAAAATTTCAGGCATCAACAAGCAAACCGAGAAACCATTAACAGAGAAGATGAGAGAAGCCTAACTAGATCCCTCAACACTATTGAGGCAAGTAAAGTCAGATTACGGGGGTGGCCAGCCGGGCAGCAGCCACGTGCACCAGAGAGCTAAACCATGATGGAACCAATTGGAAAGGCAACACCAGTTAACTCAGGTCTCTAGGCACAGGGCTGGCAAAATCTCACAAAAGCGAAGATATGGAAAACATTTCTCAAGGGCACCTAGTTCTCACTGCAATGTGTACATGTAGGTTGCAAGGTGCCACTGGAAGCTGAGGCAACATTAATAGTTGCAGTCAGCCCAAATTGTGAAAACAAGTGTTCCATGACATCGTTGTTATGACGGCTTACTATTCCCCAGGAAGGAATAATTCATTCTATTACATAAATCTCTTACCTTCTCAAGATGTTTTCTGGTCCAGAAAATACATCTAATATACCCTTCTTTTGAGTATACAGTTTTTCTGAAAAATAAGTTTCTCTCTACTAAATACATTTGAAAAGCTAAAGAATACTGAGATCACCAAACTATAACTGTGCCCAGAATCCCCACATTTTGTCTGAGTCTAACCTTAAGTACTGGCCCAGGCCCAGGCCTGCCTTCCCAACTGTTTTTGTTCCAGGAGTGGCCCCGCTCTTTACACCAGAAAGGACATGAGGAAGGCCAGGCACAGGGTCATCCCATCTAGGGTAATAAGGGTTAATCATTCCTCCCCCACTCTTCCAGTCCTGGAGGCTCCTGCCAGCCAATACTGCTGCTTAGAGAAGGTGACTTGGTTTTTAGATTGGCCAAGGCAGGAAGCTTCCCTAATCCAAGCAAGCCCTCGGCTGGCAGCACCAGGCACTGCAGTTAGTTAGGCCTGGCCCTGGAGTGGGCAGCAGAGTTCTTTGCCGAGGCGATTTATTTATGGTCGCGTGTGTGGAGCTGGGACGCTGGCTCAGCCTCCTCCTGTTTACTCCTTTGGCCCCAGGCTCCAGACGTGTCCAGTTTCCTCACTTTACTCTCCAGCTCTCAGCAGACCAGGCAAAGGTCCAGTCACCAGCGCAAACCACTCCAGGGGACTCTGCCATTCCGTGCAACTAGTTTATCCTTCAGGGGCTGACCTCCCCACCCCCAGGCGGACTGGAAATAGCCCGGTCTCCACCTGTTCCTTTGGCTTAGAGCTCGCCAGTGCAGAACCAGCAAAATGCCCGAGGCTTCCAGTTTGCCCCACCTCCTCAACCCCACCTCCCCAACCCCAAGCTCGAACCCCACTGCGTTCAGCTTCCCGAGGGCTGGGTTGGGTTTGCGGGCTGTCCTGTACCAAAGAGTGTCCCCAAGCCCCACTCCCCGCAAGGCCGCCTGAGTTCAGTAAACTCTTAACTTGTGCCCTGGGGTTCTCCGATTTTTCTGACCTATTAAAGAAATGCCAAGGCTGGACCTGACGCTAAGGCAGCAGCAGTTCTCAGCCTGCTGCCTTATGAGGCACTGCCAAAAACCACAAGGACCTGTAGTTGTTTTTCTCTTCCTCTCTCCCCTGGCTCCATCGTCTCCTTTTCTTCCCGTGGGCGCCCCCTACCCCCATTCTTCCTAAATCAAGAGGCCACTTGACCTTTGCTCGTCGGCGGTCAAGTTTCAAGGTAAACTTCCCCCAGCCCACCCAACCGGGAGGACGTCTTTGGAATTTCAGGCCCGAGCTGGGCGCCTTGATCACCGCCCTTAGAGACGCCTGGCGGGGGACCGGCTGGCCTTCCCCTTTCCCAGGTGTTGGGGAGAGGGAAGCGGGCGCAGCACGCCAGTCTCAGACACACAGGAAAGCATGCAGGGTGACCCCGTGCCACCCCTTCCACCCACCTCCCGCACGCCACCCGGAAAAAATCCCAGCCCCACTGCGACTTCCGAACGGCCCCCACCTCGGCTCGGCTCTTGAGGCTGCTCCGCTTGGGTCGCAGCAGGACATCCTTGAAGTCGAGCTTGAGGTCCGCGTCTATGCGGGGCATGGTGCGGGTGGCGCGGACGGCTCCTTCCTGCGGCGGCGGGGCGCGGGCGCCTGCGCGGGCGGCGGGAGCCGGGGCTGCTGTGCGGCGGCCGGGAGCTCGCGGGGCCCCGGCGCGCTCGCTGCGCTCTTAACCCGCCGCCCGACCCCCGGTCACGCTCCGCCCGCCCCCGGCGCCCGGGGGGCCGCGCCCCGCCCCCGCCCCAGCTCCCGGCGGCCGCGCCCGCGAGCGACCTGGACTGGGTGGAGCGGAGAGGAGAGGCGGTTGGGGACAGGCCGGCGGAGACTCCCTTCTCCCTGCCCCCGTATACTTCTGGCTAGTTGCGGCGACCGAATGGGGGCGGGGGTGGGGGCAGCGCGCACAGTCTCGTCTATCACTGAGGTCCCCGATGGGGAGGGGACTTGGGCGTGCGCCCGCCTCATCCAAGGGAAAAGGCCACTCGGCGAGAGGTTTTGCTTCTCCTTTCTCTAATCTTAAACCCAGGGTGCCCACGAAGTGGTGGGCCCGCCCCTCACATGCCAAAGAACGCAAACCCTTGCGAGGCTGGATGGAATTAAGGAAAAGAGTGCGGGCAGGTTAGTGTACAGCAGCCCTGGAACTGTTGAGGCCATTTTTGGATTCCCTTTGGATCTCAGGTTTTGTTTGTTTTAATAAAAACAGTGAGGCCTACAATCATCGCAGATGCTGGGATTGGAGGGTTACCAGTGATGGGAGTTTATTTATAATTCGCTTGTTGACTTTATGAGCCTTTATTATAAACACTCGGACGTGCTTAAGGCCTTCGCGTGCACCATCTCATTCATGCTCTGAACCACCCGATGAAGAAGGAGCCATTTTGCAGATAAGGAAAATGAGATATATAAATGAAATAACTTGCCCAAGGCCACAGAAAAACTACGTATAAATTTCTTAGTCCTTGAAACTTAACTACAATTCTTCACTGAGGCTGTTTTTGTCCTGAGAACTCTCTGCCTGGGTTCAAAACCTGATTTCACCACCTCCTAACTGGGTGACCCTGGGGGAGTCAATTTCTCTGAGCCTCAGTTTTCTCATCAGTTAAAAGGGAATGGGGATGGGAATGAAGGCGATCCTCTCCCAGGTATTTGCGGGAATTAAAGTGTGTGTGTGTGTGTGTGTGTGTGTGTGTGTGTAAACACAATGTACGTCCTTTAGTCCTTGCTCAATAAATGGTAGCTATTTATTTATAGTCCCACGTTACATTATATGCATTATGTTTTATATTCTCAAACTGGATTGCCAGGTACACAAAGGCAGGAATCATCTCTTATTTTCCTTCAGTTCTCTGCAGCCTGGAACTGTTCTCCATGAACTAGTATATGGTAGGGCTGACCATAAAAGACACATCACAATGTTCATTTTAACACAAATGCCTGCAAATAACAATCTTAGACCATCCCACTTGCTGTCATCATCTTTACCACACAGAAGTTCATGAAGTTTCATGGAAGGAAATGAAACTTATCAGAGAGAGAATGAAAGTAACCACAATTAGTCCAGCCAGCGAAATATTTATGACCCTCATCAAGTTCTTGGGAGCTGGCCAGATGTGCTGCTTATTTGCAAAGTAGTGAAAGGGAACCTAATTCTGATTCTGAGGGCCTAATTAAAGACGAAAGTAAAATATAATTACCATATGGTATGATTATTTCTCTTCCCAAAAGGGAAGAGAAACTGACCTTGTTAAGCATCTACCCAGATTAAAGCACAGAGGTGGGTGAGGTCTCTATAGTCATTGCTGTAGTACATTGTCCTAAAGGAAAAGCCTCCTTAGGTTGGCCTTGCTCTTTTACCCTGAGATGGTTATCTCCCCTCTTGGTTTCTTGCCCACCCCTTCCTATTAAAATAGACACGGAAGTTCACTTGAGGCAATTCCATTCCCTCTCCTTCTGAGTTCCATTATAATTGCCCTCTTCTCAGACACAAGATCATACTCCGTATAGAGGCAGCAGAATCCCTGATTCTCTGACACCAACCGAGACTTTGCTAAACATCCTCTGCATCTTGTCCATATTTCTGCTTCCTGTGACATTAATACTAACAATAATTGTTTCCTGTCAGTACAATGACTTTATGTTAAAGTTTTGACAGACTAGACAGACAAAGCCATAAGACATATCCAGAATTCAATTGTATTATGTAAGAGTAGAGTGATCCCCAAAATTACATGGGAAGATAACCTTCAGAATTATGTGGGATAAATCCCACTTGGTCATACTGCATGATCCTTTTGTATATTGATGGACTCAGTTTGCTAATATTTTGTTAAGGGTTCGTGCATCTAAGCTCATACAGGACATTAGTCTGTAGTTTTCTTTTGATGTCTTTATCAGGGCAATGGTAGCCTCATAGAATGACTTGGAAAATGTTCTTTGCTCTATTTTCTGAAAGAGCCTGTGTAGGATTGGGATTAGTTCTTTAAATATTTGGTAGAACTAGCCAGTGAACTAAAATTATGTGGGATGATAAAATAGTTTATTTTTAGTGAATAAATGTATCTCAAAACCCAGAAATAATTAAAATTGAGTATTAAAAGCTTTGAGATAATTCAAAATTATAGTATTTAATATTATGGGGATAAGAAAGAATTTATACATATTTGATATTTTGTCTAC